CTCTATGCAAGAATACCACCCTGACTAATTTGAATCTAGGTTATTGTTATATAGGAAAATCGGCAGAAAAAGCACTGGCTGAGGCTCTATGCAAGAATACCACCCTGACTAATTTGAATTTGGAAAGTAACGGTTTAGGAGAATCGGCAGGAAAAGCACTGGCTGAGGCTCTATGCAAGAATACCGCCCTGACTAATTTGAATTTGGAGGGTAACAAAATAGGAGAATCGGCAGGAAAAGCACTGGCTGAGGCTCTATGCAAGAATACCACCCTGACTAATTTAAAACTAGATAGATGTTACATAGGAGAATCGGCAAAAAAAGCATTGACTGAAGCTGGGAAGACTCGAAAAATTTATATCTATATTAGTTACTAAACCAATCAATAAGATAGCTTGGAGTCACAAGTTTCTATATTTTAATTTAGTCGTCGAAAATTTTCAGAAATTTAATATTTCACGCAGATTTTTTTTATAATTTTAGGTACTTTATGGGTAGCTGAGATATGGGTTGTTATAAAATTTTATTGTTTCACATCAATTATTAAAGTCCAAATATAAAGAATGCAAATAATTTATATTATATAACTCGTATTATTTGAAATTATTTTAGTTACACTCGTAAAATTTATTTTATGAGTCCTGAAATTTTGTAATATTTTTTGTGCAAATGTATACTTGATATAAATAACATTGTTAGTTGACCAATAATGATTATAACGAAAATTAATTTTCATATATATGACTCACCAATTAAGAGTTAGAAAGAAGGTAAAATGGATTAATTTTATGAACCAAAGTTCTTACGCTTCGTTAATATGCAATATTAATTATTCTTGAATTTAAGAGATATTCATAGTTAAAAAAAGTTTAAATCATTAATAGAAAAGTTATATATGGATATAGACTAGGGATTAAGTTAACGCCATGTAATAAAGATAAAATACTGTATTATCCAATATCTCGAAATTATGGACAGAACTCATTACACTCAAAGAATTATGAGAAATATATGAAATTTCGATAGCGCTTAATTTATATTTTGCGTGTATTAAATTTAAGTAGATAAGTGCTCGATCTGAGTAAATTTTAAATATGCTCGTCATAATAAAGTATAATTGTCCACTCCTCTAATCATATTAAAGAAAGCGAAATCAACGTTTAACATCTGTTTTTACTCGGAAATCAATATTTACTGTATATTAATACAGTAGCCGTCATAAAAAATGTACAACTTATATCTTTTGGCTTCGAATAATTATATTTTAATAAAAAAGCAATTGTATTTTACATAATTTTATATTTAGTCGTTAATAAATTACTTAATTTTTTAATTCTATAATTTTTGATGGTGCAATTTTTTTGGCGTTTTTTTATAATTAATTATGGGATAAGAACAATCGATGCGCATTAAGGAGGTTGCGAAAAAGGGTAATCGACCCTCAACATTTTGGTTATTTTATATTTCTGTTTTCTGTGTGTCATGTACAAGAAATTATATAAATAAGTAATGTTAATAAAGATGAGAAATAATAGATTAAAAATATTCACTTACCTATTCCACATTGTCCAATTAAATCTCCAAAACCATACAAACTCACCAAATCCACATCTTTTTTCTGTCTTACACCCCCAGTAAACTTACTCAAACCTCTGCTCAAAATTATTGAGAGGCCAAGAATTGTGGCATGATCATGGTGCTGATCCAATCCTAACAAATTTTGATTGTAACTGCAAGATTCGACATTTAATATTGCCTGGTCTTTTTCAAAAAAAAAAAAAACTCGAAACTAAGAAACATGATATTTATTAATCCTGATTTTTTTTGTATCAAATAAAAACAGAAGTATTGAGAAAAAACAAGTAAAAAGAATAGATACAGAACAGCTTGAATAACTCTTAACAATCTTTTTTAGTTATTTAAAGTTGTAATTATAAATATTCTTAATAAAAGCTAAATATATTAATCAAATATTTTATTAAAAAAGAAAACAAAAATTTTGTTAAATGAATAAAAAAATTTAAATAAGTTGCTATAGCTAATAACTAGATGAATAAACAAAAACTTTGATTATTATATATTATTTTATTAAATTATTTAATCATTAATATAATATATATAAAAGTTTTATACTAATATTAATTATTATATTTTTGAATATTGTAAAATACAATTTTTAAAAATTCAAATAATAATAGTTATATAATAGTTTTTTAAATATATCTAATTTAATTATTAATAAATAAATTATATTGAATTTAATAATAATAGTTATATTAATTTTTTTTTAAAAAAAAACTATAAAAAAAAAAGATTAATTTAAGTTTATTACTTATGTAAATTATTAGTTTTTAATATAGTTTTTAAATAAAAAAAATTCAACCAATCAAAAGAATATAAAAAAAAAACAAGAACTTAAAAAATTTTTTTTAACTTTGATAAGAAAAAGAAAAAAATATAATATACAGTATATAATATTTAAAAATATTTATATAAAAAAATATATATAATAAAAATTTTTCAAAAAACAAATTTCAAATAAAAAAAAAGAAATAGAAAAAAAGTTTTAATTAATAATTACTATATTAAATTATTTTTTTTCTTTTATTTAAATAGGTAGATATCTGTATATATAATTAATAAAAAAGAAAATATTATAATATAACTTTTATAATAAATATAAATATATAATAATTAATTATATTATATTTAATTTAAACAGCATTATAAATAATAATTATTTTTTATATAACCTAGTATAACTTTAGTCACATAAATAAATTAAATTTTAAAAATATTAAATATATATAAATTTTTTATTTACGTATATTAGTAATACAGTATATCTATTTTAACTAATTTTAATATTTAATATAATAAAAAATTGTAAATTCCTTAATTAGAATTAATGATTATATTAGATTTCTTAAAACTGAAACCGGATCAGGTTCAAGTAACTCGGACCTCGGCCCATGACTTAAATGGCGTGGTCCATTCTTTTAAAAAGCCTATTGGAAAATACAATATCAAATTATATCATTAAAAATGATTTTGATATTATTCACGAGAAATACTTGAAATATATTTGATATTATTATATAAGATGAATATTTTTTACATGAACTTCTCTAATACTTTGATTTTAGATTGGATTTATATGATACATAAATTATCTACCACTGACACGATAGTTATACCGTCCATATTTCGAGAAAAAAATGTTATAGTAAAAAGTCTAAGTTCTATAAGAATTTTTCCGTCGTTCATTTGCGCTTATCGCTCAATTCAAACAAAGGAAGAGCGAAATAGGAAGACTCTTTTGTAATTAGACCAGAGAGTGCATTATACCAAGCAAGGAATGCAGTAATGATACCAAAAATACCACCAGCTCTGGTCAACTCATTCACTGGTGTTCCGGCATGGGTGAATTTGCCAATGGTGAGAAGTAAGAAGGTGATCCACAAGAAGAAGAATAAGGCAACCGTGAAAATAGTCGAGCGGAGAGTGGCTAATAGCAACATAAAGGTGTCTACATAAAAAAAGGATGTTTCGTGATTAATTTATTTAGTTAAGAGGTCAAAAGTACGCGGGTAAGTATTAGCAGAGATATCAGTGACACCTACAGATGGTCCATCCAGCAAGAAAAATACCTATTGCATGTTCCAAGTCTTGGCTGGAATAAGCCGAGAGAACATTGAACCCAGGGATCAAAATGACGCCGAATGATAACCAAAAACCACCATATGAAGAAAAGACTGTAGCACCAAAGGTATTACCCGCTCGAAACTCCCACATACCGGCCAATATCTGAACAAAACCACCATAGAATAAAGCCAAACCGATGACAATATTTGGCGCTGTGACATTTGGTGTGCCGACGTTACTAATTGATAATATAAACGTAGTCATTGCGAAAGCTGAGAGACCTGATTGTCATGTATCGTAAGAACTAAAGATCAATTAACGAAATTAACTAAATTTCAAAACAAATTATGAATGTACCAAGTGGTGCAGGATTAGCGATTTTTGGCTGGATATACTGTTTTCCATCTTCGATAGACATTATGAATTACCAATTCTTTGCGTATAGGCGACTGCAAGTTATGTTGAATATGTGTAATGAAAAAATTTTAAAGAAACGTACAATAAGAAAAAAATTCAAGGAAGTGGGTGAGACTGCAAATTTATAACCGAATGAAAGCTTCTTTTCGAATAATGAACACGCGATCAAAAAATCACAATATATACTTAAAATCGTTAACATCATCTCAGACTATAAATAAAAATGTAATATGAGACAGATTTAATGGGATGATTCGAGTCATCGAATAACTTCTATCCGCTATGCAGAATCCCTGTATAACTCACGGTACTTTTGCGCTTGTTTCTTTTAGCTAATGATGTTTTAAATAAATATGCATTACTAGATTAGGCTAGATCTGAAAGTATCACGTAATTTTTACTTTAACTCAATGGAGAATCAACCCAAAAATATACAGTCGAACCTCGTTATACCGAAGGACTAAGTAAAAACCCGCTATACCGAAGGTAAGTACAGAAACATTTATAGCAAATTTAACCCGTTATATCGGATTTACTAATTGAACCTCGTTATACCGAATTTCTTGAAATTTTTGCCTTATGGTCCCGACCTATTCGTTATAACGAGATTTGACTGTATATTGTATATCTATTAGATCACATTAAAAAAACAATTATTTTTTAAATAATACATATTTGATAAATCATAACTATTAATAAACTTTCCGAATATACAATTGTGATCAAAATTAATCCTATTTATTTAATTAACCACCATTAATAAATAAATCTGTCACCAACTTCTATTTATTGTGGATTGAATTTTGTAAATTGAACATTCTAACATTCTATTTGTTTGTTTAATTTTTTCAAACCAATCAATTGCAATAAAGGCATAAACACATTCATAATTATATTTGTAACTGAAAATTGCTTGAATCTTTATGTAATTCTTATCTTCTTTACTAATATTGATAAATACAATATCTTCAAGATGCAACAAATATTTTCTGGAAATGTTATGATCATTCTTTTCTAAATAAGTTGCACTTTTATAGAAACTTATTGTTTTATTAATAAGAGCTGAGTAATTTCCAAAATCATAATAAGAAAGCAATAGTTCCAATCTAAATTTTGAACCATTCACTTGACATGATACCATTTTTTCAAGATTTTGTCATGAAATTTTTTTTTTCAAGTTGATGTTAGAAATATATTCCACTTGTAAATAAACCAAAATTAATAAATTTAATTAGCAATATTGATTAGATGTTTATTTGAATTACAATAATTAACCTTTGATATCATCACTTTTATTACAATCAAAGTGTTTATTAACAGTAAACCAATTATCGAATAGTCTTTCGACACTTTATGAAATATTAACAAAACCTTGACTATTACTTAAGAGCCTGCTGTCAATTCTGCCATCAATTAAATACCGAATAGCAAATAATGTTATGTCTTTTTTTATTAAGTCCAATTCAACATTTTTATGATTAATTCATAATACCATGCCTTTGAAAATTTGATAAATCATTTTTTTGTATCAATCCTGGTATTAATAAGATTGATAAAGATTTGTGCATGTAATAGTAAATAATAATTGATATAAAGATTGGAAATATTTTTAAATTCTTTAAAAATCTAAAAATAAATATTTATAGATAAATAGTAATTTATAAAAAAATCTAATAAAGTTTAATTATTTGAACTAGAATTTTCCATTTCATCTCTAAGTTTTGTTAAAGATTCTTATAATCTTTTTTGGAGTATTCATTCTTAAATATTAATCTCATTGATTTGAAAATCAAGACCTAGCATTTTATTAAAGACTTTGGAATCAAATCAATGCAATTAGTATATATTTATTGCTGAATCTTCATCAATTCATTGTTTTTCAAATAAGAAGTCTTTAAGAATCGATTAAGAATAAATGGTATAACTATTGATAGTCAAAGGTAATTAGACATCATTAAATTTTCATATTAACTTATTGGATTAGACAATCATAACTATTGTATTGAATGCTCAAATTCCTTTCAAGTTTTAGTAAACATTTTTTGACTCTCAAGTGAAAATAAGTTTACTGTTAACTTAAAAAGCCTTATTATTTTTTCTATAGTTGCATGATAAACATAATGTGATATTTGAAGGTATTAGTTCCACATTAATTGGCTTAATGTTGGAATTTTGTTGTGCAATTCATATTTTGTCATTAGCTGTTTGCTTCTTTATGAAATAATTGTTAATGAAATTTCTTGGAATTGTTTATTAGTAATATGCCGATTATACATGTGTTTGTATTTAATTCAGACATTTTTCAAAAACTGTATTATGTTCGTATTACTAAGTAACAATTAGTAAGTAATTTGGAATCGTATTGTCAATCAAATTTCCTTTTATAGTAATAAAAAAACATGTATAATGCTGATATCTTCTTAATTCCATGATATTTAAGTTATCGCTTGTTAAGTAAAAAAAAACTCTTTCCCACAACATCTCCATCCGTAGAAAATTGCCTTTTTAGGAAGCTTCTTTCTTCCAAGGAAC